AATGTGATGGCGCCACCTCAAAAGTTTGCATAGTAAATATTATTTAAATTTTATAAAATAACATAGTCGTATATTTGTGCTTCATGAAACTGTATTGATTTTTTACACTGGACATCTAGGTTTGTGGAAAAAAAAACTTTGAAGGTGCAAAAACAAATGCTCTGAAATTTTAGACCAATGATTTTATTCTAGGACCATCAAGCGTTAGCTATTGTTCAAATGCACTTTATTAAAGTTCCAGCTTACACTTTGTTTGTAAAAACCTCATACTTCAAATGTGGTTGGGTATCAACTGGCTTTTGATATTATTAATGACCATTTTAATTGAAATTGGGTGAACGTGTGTAAAATATAAAGTTTGCGCAAATTCGTTGTTTAACTACTCAGTAGATTAATAGATAGTTCAAACATTTCAATAAATTGCCACTACTTGCATCTGGCATGCAATATTTCAGTACATGACTGTAATGAGAAAATGTCGAATTTAGACTTTAATTGAACAAAGCTCAAGTCTATTTAGCGAGCTAAAATAAGCCTGCTCGGCACGCCAGGGCAGGACTAGCACATCATGCTGCACACGTGACTCGTGTACAGAAAACCGCTGATGCTTTATTACGGAACGGAAATTAACGATCGATTTTGGTTGGGTTGAGTGAAGGATCACGCTTCATGCAGGATCTCGACACCTCACTAACCTAGTTCCTGAAATTGGTCGTGCCAAGATGTAAGAGGCTCGATATACTAGAATATCCACTTGAACTTGCCTGTAAAAAATTGCAGAGTACTGCAGATGTTGCCCGGACTGGATGGGGATTTTTATCGCACGCTTTGCAGGAATAACAGTGGGTGGTAATAGTGTACATAAGCACTATCTTATCTCGAGAGTTTTAAACGAATATCGGCTCTTACACAAAATTTTTTTTAAAGATTATTAACTGAGATTTTAAACAATCGTTGGGTCGTGTAGGTGGGTCGTCTTATTGAATGTGAATGCAGGTTTTATCCTTTCACTAAACATAAATGACATACATAAGAATAAAGAAGGTTGGTATATAACAAATTCCTCTTTATTCCTTTTAAATAAATAAGAATAGCGTTGGCGGCAGTGACAGTTTTTTTTTTAACAAATGACTAGGGCGTTTAAATGTCAATTTAAATATTGGCATTCATGGCATACAAAATAAATCTTTGACTCTTCTAGAACAAATGTATGTAAAAATATTCATTGATCAAGAATTCAAGATACGATGAAGATAATCGTTTTTTATACCGCAGATTCATCTTTGACACTGAATTAAAATTTGTAGGTATTGTTGCGATTATTAGCGTATTGTTACGAAATAAACTCATACCCCGCCCCGGTACGACGCCTATGAGTTCCCGGGCTTTCTAGTACGCACGGCGTTGATGGGTGAGTCATCATCGGTGACGGTGGCCAGGCGGCGTTCCACAAAGGCAAGTTTGGAGCGGGTTACCGGAAGTCTTAGTTTAAATAGAGGCCACCGTCGGGAACGGTTATTATTCAGTCAATTCAGTCCACGAAAGTACAACCGAGTTGCGCCGAAATTATTGTGTACATAATCGCTGTGCAGTTAGTCGTATAAATTTTAGTTATTGAGAAATAAATGGTTGAGTCTTACCCCCGCCGATTTAAATCACCCGTCCAACGTAACAGTATTATAAGATAAAATGCTAAAAATTAAATTAAAAAATAAACACTTAAAGACGGAAAATATAAGAGTGGAATTTCAAGCACAATAAGGAAGAATGAAAATTTGGAAAGAGAAATAAGAAAAAAAATAGTTATCTATGGAGTACCTGAAACTCAAGAAGAAAGAGATGAAGAATTAAAATCAAAAATAAACACTTAAAGACGGAAATATAAGAGTGGAATTTCAACTGAAAGCACAATAAGGAAGAATGAAAATTTGGAAAGGGAAATAAGAAAAAAAATGTTATCTAAATAGTTAACTCAAGAAGAAAGAGATGAAGATGTCAGGAAACAAATCAAAGAAATAACGGAAAACTCAACATTCAGATGTTGACCCCACTGGAAATTCAAGAGATAAATAAAATCGAAAATTAGACCAGGCAAGGTAAAAACCGAAAACTTTGATGACTGAATTGAACACAGCATGGAGAAAACTCTAAATTTTTAAAGCTGTAAAAAAACTGAAGGGCAATTATTTAATACACCTTTTATGAAAGAAGTGAAAGTGAGAGGGGATAAAGTACGATAATAATCCTAATAATTACTTGTTAATAAATGCAGACATGTACTCAATAATAGAAAACGCTGCTTCCGCACAAGATACGTCCTTAAATAACGAGAGTATTGAAGGTGATAAAAAAGGTACAACAGAAAGTCAACACTCGTTGTTCAGGGAAGAAGAGGAAATATTAAAAAGAACTTTAAAATATTACAACCACGATCGATTTCAAAAAAGCTTAAAATATGAGGAAAAAAGGGGGAAGACTTGAAACGATCACGAACCTGGCGATGCCAAAGGACGATGAATTGGAAACAAACAAAGGAAAAATTAGATGATTTGGTGAAGGATTAAAAAAAGTGGATTTGGAAACAAATGAAAACAAGACAAAGGTACTGAATATAAATAAAATGCAGAAACAAAATCTGGGTATAGAAGAGAAATCTACACAAGAAGTACAAACATTTGTATATCTAGAAAGTGTATTAAGGAACGAAGGAGGCATAATGGAAGACATTCAAGAAACGATAAACAAAGGAAGAATAATATTTTTTCGCAGTGGTAAGGTATATCACACCGACGGTCTAAAAGCTCCAAACATCCATGAACAGATGTCTAAGGAATATTTTAAAAATCTGGTACCCAAAGAAAATCATAAATGTAGAGCTATGGGAGAAGACCAGATGATATCAATACGGAAATAAGACGAAAAAAGTACAGATGAAAAATAAACTGAAAAATATGAATTCATTGATAAACCACAAGTACAGACTTATAATATTTTGTACATTTTAGGTATTCGGCAATATTTTGAGATGACGTGTTCAATTTTGAGAGGATAACCGCATAATTTTTGCTTAACGATAGATCGTTAATCAAAAATGTTTGCAAAATTTCATGTAGTTTCAAAGTTAAATTGTAAAATGTTATACAATTAATAATACATATCTAGGGTAAAAAATCAAGGAGCATCAACAAATCGCACACTCCGACCATTATAAGACATGTTCTTATTTAACTCTTTAAACTTTAAATTTGAAACTTGTTTTAACTGTTTCTTTAATCGTTTGGACTACAAGCCAGGTTGGCCGAGTAGTCTAAGGCGCCAGACTTAAGCTCTGGTCGAAAAATGAGCGCAGGTTCAAATCCTGCACCTGGCAGTCTATTTGATTTTTTTTCTTCAAAATCTATATTGTAATACTTAAATTGAATTACCAAGATTCAAAATCCCTGTAGCGCCATCTACTGTCAAAGAACGCATCTACAACTAGAATTCCAAAAGCACTCGGAGGCGACATCTACCGTCAAAAAACAAAAACAAAACCGAGATTTGAACGCCGGTGGTCCGCAACCACCAATGCAGGTTCCAAGACCGACGTCACGTGGGGTTGACGTCACACCTGTTTATATACTACTGGTTCATAATCTACACGAACCTTAAATATAGTGCTTTTGGTGATGAGACGAACTCGTCATCAATTTGTTGCAGGGTGGAACTGTCATATTCTTTTCCATTGTATTGCAATTTCCCCGGTGTATGTGTGGTACCTTCCGTAATTTTTTGGTTGAATCACTATGTATGTTTAGTAGTACGACGATATGCATCAAGAGTGTCATAAAGTATATATTTCATAAAATTTTTGAGCCTGCTCATTAACATCAGTGAAGGTTTTAAGAATAGATAAAAAAAATATGAAAATTTTAACACCATATTCACTGAGTAAGTTTTAATGTGTATTTTGCTAATAAGAAATTTAATGACCTTTAAAATGGTTATAAGTAATTAAATTAAATAAGCTTCAAAGACGTTAAAATAACAGTGAAATATGGAACACGTAAATAGACCACATATTTTGCAAAAAAAAATTTGATTTAGTGGAAGTATTCTTGTAGAAATCATTGTGGTTATTATAAATTTATAACAATTTTAAGAGAACAACTAGAGATATTACAATTCTGTAAACGCCAATGCTTTTAGCTTGAAAGGGGAAGCTTAACTTAGTATATCGCAAATGTAATCAAAATGTGCAAAATATCATGAACCTATACTTGTTGTTTGTCGATGTATTCATATTTAATATATTTACTTATTGATTAAAAAAAAAACAATGAGACAATTTACATATTCATATATTACGTGTCCTTGGTAAAAAGTTGATGTGTAGTTTATTATAAAAAACTTGAAACATAGACATGTTTTTCGTCCGTAGTTTAATAGTCCGCATATATCTTTATTTTTTTACTCAGTGTTATCATAAAATTGCGACGGTATCAGCAGTAATTGATGTGTTTACCTTGGACTGTTATGTTACCATCGACTATTATTGCAACACTTTTTTGATGCACTCTAGTGGAACTCATTAAGACTGCAATTTAAAATTATTCTGAAATATAGAAAAGGCGACTAGAAAGTTTTGTGCAAAATTCTATACCCCCATTACGTGCTATATTGCTACATTAATCAGAGTTGTTTTCAACTCTTTGAACTCTTATAATCTTATTTTATGCCTCAATAACTTTTTGTTAAAAAATAACCATATGCGTTTAATAAAATTTTGTTGCCGAATGTGCTGCTACAATGTTAATACGGTTATAGCCGCTTGCGCTACAACTGACCTAACATGCCCCACCATCCTCTACTTTCTCTGGGGAAGCTTATCAAATTAAATAATCAGGTGTCAACTTATTTAAATAAATATATTAGCAACATGTTATGTGAGTCACTACATAGAACATAAAAGTAAACTGTCGTAAATTTTCACAGTGACGATAACCCAAGTAAATATGACATCCTGATATTATTTTCAGACAGTTTATTTTGTACAAGACTGCAAAACGTATCGCGTCTAAAAAAAAGAAACAAACAAATTTTTACATTTTTAGTATACAGTTTATCAAGAACAACAAATGTCAACTCTCCACCCGATTTCTGTCGATGACGAAAACAAGGTTAGTTAAAATGTACACAATACCTCAAACTTTGACTTTTTTCTGTAGATACTATGGCATCCAATTTTACACGTTGACCAAATGGGCCCAGAAAAAAGTAACGTAATGAAACGATTGTGGCGTGCTTTCAACTACTGGATAAATTGTCCTAAAGGCAAACAAAGAATTATTGCCGAGATAGGTGACAATCTGTACAATGTCGGTCTTCTGTGAGTACTTTAAAATATTTCAGTTGTAAAAATGCTTTCAAAATTTTCAGCCTCGACGATATTGAAGACAATGCAATCCTTCGCAGAGGAGCTCCCGCAGCCCATTTAATTTATGGACTTGCTTCAACTGTATATGCAATCATATACCGAATGATTATTTTGATTGAACAACTCTTAGACGTATCAGAAAACAAGGTACTGTGAATGTATGCACAAAAGAGGTGAAAGTTCCAGGTCTTCTTTGAAATATTTTTATATCAACAATTAAGTCACCAAAATATTTGAAAATCCATGGCACAGATCCTCGTAATTCCAATATCTCTTACAGGAAATTGTCACCGACTATGTTATAGAAGCGGGTACTCAGTTGTTAAGGGGTCAGGGAGTGGAAATTTATTTTAGAGACACTTGTATTTGCCCTACATATGAAGATTACAAACACATAATTAATGATAGTAAGTATATAAATAATCTATTTTCAATTATATAAAGCCATTTTTAGGATGGGTTAGTTTGCTTAATTTTGGACTGCGAATGCTACAATTATTTGTCGAGAACGAGAACAAAGATTTTACTTCATTACTAACAACAATAAGTGTCTTTATACAAATTTATAACGATTATATAAACCTACACAACCCGAAGGCAGGCGCAAACACTTGCCTAATAAACTTATTAATACCTTTATCTTTTCAGTATTCTAATGTTAAAACATACTGCGACGATATTACCGAAGGAAAATTCACTTTTCCTATGATACATGCCATTCGTACTCATCCTGACGATCACCACTTAATAGGTATCCTTCACGAAATAAGTATTATGATTAAAGAAAATTTAATGTCTGTTTCAACAGTCTAGAAATGCTTAATTTCCTTATTACTATTTTAAGATATAATAAGGAAAAGACCTACAGACCTTGAAACAAAAAAAGTATTTGTCAACATACTCGAGAGCTTTGGAAGTTTTGAGTACACTAGGAAAACACTGGGTAAATTAAGGGGTGATATTCTTTCTGAAGTAGACAATTTACAGTTAAACGAAAACCCGTATCTCAAGAGAGTGCTCGAAGATATACTAAATAACTTAGAAACGGAAATTTATTTTGACCGCTGTGATTAAATAAACTCATATTAAACCATATTCTGGACGTTCAGTTTAAATTATTCTCAAAATTATTGCACATTCATGAAAAATTTCACTAACTACTAATTTCACGGAAAGGGAGTAAATTTCATTTCTTAAATAGATTTAAATTAAGTTTATAATTAAAAAAAAATATATTTGTAACATAATTGGTGTAATTTTAATATTTTATGCCTTTTGGTTTGAACGGAATATCGAACAATAGCTGTTGATTCCTCTGTAGCTTTAATTTATCACTCAGTTAATTATTTTGTTTTGTTGCAATATATATTCTGAGCAGTTGGGTCAGGTAGAAGTTTTAATAGTACATATGTACGATAGGATGAAGTTCAGGAAATATAGGGTGATGTATGATTTGTGAAGGGGGTTTTAGATTTAGTAAAAGTGACTGTTTTGTATTGTTGCATTCTATATATTTTCACTTTTTGAATAAATCTTAATGTGTCTTCCTAGATTAACATCCATTATTTTTATGTTACAAGTATTTTTAATATTCTTCTTTGGCCTTCTATTACTCGCTCTTTCTCTCTCCCCTCTTTCCGTTTATTTTAGATTAAAATAATTAGTTATTAAATGTCAAATCGACACGAGAAGTTTGTCTTGAAATTAGTTAGATCTTATTTGTAGAATCCTATTTTTGAAAGTATAAGAATACAGTAATGTCGGGCTCGCCTACACAGAGTGACTCCAGGGGCACTAATTCAACCCTACACTCTTAAGTTCAAAAATCTAAATTCGAAAAAAATCTATAAAAATTCAATTTGATGTTCACTTACAAAACCAAAATATCGATTTAGATCGATAGATCTAAAAAGGTGAAAAATTAGCCACTATTATCAGATTCATTCTGAACAATTTTAATTTTTTTGTAATGTTATAAAATGAAGTGACACTTTTTTGTACTAAAATGTCAAAATTATTTTTTTTTGGACTCACTCCTCACTTTCTTCTACTCAGATGCAAAACTTACATTTGCGTCCTTCGCCTTAAAAACTTTTTCAGCCTCGTCGAATTTCAAAATTCAGAATGATTTTTTCTTTGCTTTGGTTTACTTTATACTCTACTTCAGGGGCCAGGGAAGTTCAGTCGAAAAAACCTTCGACCAATTGTTTTACCATGTTATGTGGTTGAACTCCGTTACTCCTCAAAGTTACTACCACCGGCGACGTATGCAAATGAATAGTAAAATAAAAAAAGTAATAAAATAAATTTACTACCTTGATTACCACACCTTAAACTAGACATTGTGACTCCATTCAAGGTAACAGTAATAAATTTGAATGGGTGTAGACAAACCGGTAAAAATTATTAACTGCAACTTGTGATAAGAAGTAACAAAATACAGTCAAGAAGGATACAGTAATTTGTTGTATAAGTTTCATAATTAACTTTTTTTTATCGGTGGTGGTCTGTTTTTTATCTGTAGACTTTAATAAATTTTCGATGGAAAATTTATTACATAAATAAATAATCCCCAAAACTACTAACCGGATTGCTTTGAAAATAATTTGTAGACAAAAGTATAATGTATTCCTGGCGTATGGTTAAAGTAAAATGCTTAAATGTTTACTAAAAAAGTAAATTTGAACTGTTACATAGCTGAAATTGCGAAAATAACCCACGACCAGTAAGTAGGTACATGTAAAATTACCTTCATTGCTACTAATAACTAATGTAAAAAATAGTGACACAAATAAACCAAAAATAATAAAATTACTACATATTACTGCAAGAAACTCGTACTTCGTTTTGTGCTACCAAGTCGAACATGGTATATTACTAGGTGGGCCAGAAAGATTAATGATGGGTTGGATGCTTATTTATGTACAATACGAGTATATAAAATCAAACATTAAACACGTGGTTCAGATACAGCAATATTTTTTTAATTTCACATAATTTCTGCCACAAAACTCTAAAAGAATACTTGGTAGTTTTTAAACAACGAATCTACACTTTAAATTTAAACAAGAAAGACTAGAAGTTTATTTTATTGTAGTTCCTTATAAATCTGATTTCTCGAAAATCTAATTTAATGTTTAAAGTCCTCTCAATTTTTTTTCTTTTGTTGACTGATGCGATGCCACCAGCAAACTTAGAGCATTTTAATCGCATTGACGTTTACTGACATATCATTGATAAACACCAAAAAATAAATGGTCCTAGTACTAAACTTCATGACACTCCAAGCGTAATAACTTACCCAGTCTGTGTACGTAAAATTTATATTTTAAATGTAACGAAACGGTTATTAATTATTTTTATTATGGCTGATTACATTGTTTCTAGAAATTTAAATAAAATAACAAGATTAATATGTCCATTTTTTGTAAAGAAAAGAAAACTTTAAAGGCCGGACAACAATCTTGTTTATAGAAAGTAAAGTATAAGAGTCCTTTGAGAAATACGAATGTGTGCTTTTCAAAATGGATGAACAGAAACCATCTAACTTGTACCACGAAGAAACTGAAGTGAACTTACTAATATATAATTTGTAATCAAATGAGTACATTAACCAATTTGCATTTTAGATATTGTTGAGACCTACTTTACACATTACACAAGCAAAACTTGAATATCGAAACGTTGTAAGACGAATGTGTCGGGCTTTTAATTATTGGATTAAATGTCCTAGAGATTTACAAAAAATCTATGGCGAAATTGGAGGCACAGTTTACAATGTAGGTGCTATGTAAGAATAACTACATTAATTTGTGGTGTTACACTGATTTCTAACTGTTGGTAGAATGGACGACGTAGAAGATAACGCAGTACTTCGTAGAGGAATTCGTTCTGCTCATCTGGTTTATGGGAGCCCCCTAACAATACAGGGTGTCATATTTAAAGCTATTCTTTTGCTCGAGCACATGCTACAGCATTTACACAATCGCACGGTATTTTAAAACTGTGTACCTTAATGAACACTGAGAACAATTTCAGATATATGTATAAGTTGACGCATTATTTTTTATCACAATCTTTATCTATTTAAAATTTTTTTTTTCAAGAATATCGTTCTATAGAGAACATACTATTTCATTTGAGAAATAAAAAAAAAGAAAAATCTGTACAGTTTCTGAAAGATTGATGTTTGTAAGCTACTTTTTAGGAACAAGCCACCGATTTGTTTATAAAACTGGGTATTGAAGTCTGTACAGGACAAGGAATAGAAATGTACTTTACGGACAACTGTGTTGTGAAATATCCTGTTTAATTGGGGTTGCTGCGGCAGCATGTGCAAGCGTTGTTAGAAGGAAGCGAGTCCGAAGTCAAGCTGAGTTGCATTTCCTTTTCCGCGATTGCTAAGTATCGACTCAATCAAAATTAAGGAGGTCATGTCATTACTCCGCAACTATGGCCGGTCACATGACTATAGTTGTCAATATATAACTTTTGGCTCGCACCTGAAGAAGTTAGTTGTATTAGTTGTATTAGTCGTATTTGTATTTGTAGTTGAAGAAGTAGTTGTAGTTGTAGCAGACAAGGGATAATTGTAACCAACACCCGTACCAGCGACATTTTCTTCTAATAAATTTGGTGTACTGCCCAATCTGTTTGAATTGCCAACCCCTACGCGCAACAACTGTATTTGTCCTGCATTTAAAGATTATGAAGCCTTGGTTAATGGAAGTGAGTTAAAAAATGAAACTCAAAACGGAGTTCTAGTCCAAATTTTTATCGAATTTATTTATTTTAATAGAATCTATTGGTTCAATCTGGTCAGACGTCAGAACATTTGGAAATGTCGCTTGTGTAAGGATGGTACCACCGGACTGCAGTCTCACACTCCGAAATTGTAGACTTAAAAATTGTATTGGATTAGGGGATGAACACCACCGTACCGCAGTCTCACGTCCCGAAAATTGTCGACTTGGAAATGGTGTTCTAGTAAAAAAGGAGTGGTGCCACTGGACTGCAGTCTCACAGCCCGAGTTTGTAGACTTGGAGGGGTGGCACCGGGTAAAAAGGAATAGACACCACCGAACCGCAGTCTCACACTCCGAAAAATTGTGGACTTGTAAATAGTGTCTAGTTAAGGAAGATGCCGCTGGACTGCATTCTCACAGCACTAATTTTTAGACTTGGAAGGTGGCACCTGGTTCAGTAATTGTTCGAAGGACCATGAACAATTCTGGGGTAGAATTGTGGGGAGTGAGTGAAAGGCCGATAAAACTTAATACTGATTGATTGAAAACAACCTTTAACTTATTTATACAAAACTACATATCCTTTTTAAGAGTTAAAATACAATTTACAATACTTACTTTAAACCACCATTTAATTATCATACTGAATTTATTAAAATGTTCTGCCATGACTTCAAAAATTTGGGTGTATCTTCATCACAACATTTCATATTTTTGTAGTTTTTCAGTATGTACCATACAGATGAACCAGAAGACTTATCATTTTTTAAGTAGAATCGTTTTGTATCTTTCGTTTTAACGAATTTTGATGCATCATTAAATTATGATTAAAAAGAGTATATGTGAGAAATTAGAAAAATATAGTTATTTTACCTCGAGTATATTTTGCTAAAATGAGAAACTGGTACTTATATTTTCGTTAAAGTGTTAATTTTAGTGATAACTCCGAATGAATAAACAGAAATGGACTGGACTGAATTACACCATTAAAAACCTCACTTAAACCCAGTTAAAAAAGAAATTAACGAGTGCTTATTTTTTGGAAAAAAACACGGTTACTGAGGAAAAACCACAAAAACTTGAGCATTTTAATTGCATTGACGTTTACTGACATGTCATTGATAAACACAAAAACTATAAATGGTCCTAGTATTGAACTTCATGGCACTCCAGGTGTAATTACTTACCAATCTGTGTATGTAGAATTTACGGAAACGGTTATTAATTACGTTTAATATTGCTCATTAGGTTGTTTCTACAAGTTTAAGTAAAATAACAAGATTAATATGTCTATTTTTTTTGGAAACAAAAGAAACTTGAAGGCTAGACCACAGTCCTATTTATATAAAGTAAAGTATAAAAGAGCCACTTGAGTAATACGACTTATATATACTTTTCAGAATGTATAAACAGAAGTCATCTAAGTTGTACCACGAAGAAAATGATGTGATTTTACTAACAATCTGTAATTAAGTTATATATCCTAATTTGTGTTTCAGTTACTGTTGAGCACCACTTTACACATTACACAAGCAAAACCAGAATATCGAAACATCGTAAGAAGAATATGTCAGGCCTTTAACTAATGTCCTAGAGACCTACAAAGAATCTATGGCGAAATCGGAGACACAGTTTACAATGTAGGTGCGATGTAAGAATAACCATAATAATTTGTGGCATTATATTGATTTCTAACTATTGGTAGAATGGACGACGTAGAAGATAAGGCAATACTTCGCAGAGGAATTCCTTCTGCTCATCTGATTTATGGGAGCCCTTTAACAATACAAGGTGTCATTTTTAAA